CTGTTATTTAACATCTTAGAAGTTAACAAGGTGAATGACTTCAAGTTATTAGTTTGACTCTGAAGTAAAATCTGATTGTTTTACTTACTGCTGACATTGTTTTTTGTTTGAAAGTAAACAAATATATAATTTGTAGTGTTCTAACGTAAGAGAATGCATGCAGCATTTCATTTTTCAGTAATCAACAAATAGCTAAGGTTGATTTATCATTGTCTTTCTTATTTAAAAATAAAAACTTAAAAGTTATAAAATTATTTATGTGTTATTTATGTTAGTGTCTAAAGGGTAATCCAGATCCAAATTTATATGAAGATATTTCAGGCTAAGAAAGAGTATTTTTTTTTAAGATTTATTTATTTATTCATACAGAACTGGGGTACAGGCCAGAGATGCGGAGGGTGAGAGGGTTCACCAGAGACAGAGCGAGGAGCAGAACAGGCAGATTGATGAAGTACACTGCTGAGGGGAGCAGCGGGTGGGTCAGGAGAGGTCTGCCACGCCATGTGGTCACCTCCGGGGCAGGCGGGGATTGAACTCATGCGGACGTGGCTTTAGTTTCTCAGTGCAGTGCTTTAACCCGCTGCGCCACCAGGGAGGGCCAAGAAAGAGTATTTTTAAGTTATTACTTCTCAATCATAGTTCTGATCCCATGTATTATTTTATATTAGACACAACTGTAGAAAAGTTGAGCCATGCTTGTTCAAATGGTAAAGTGGTATTCTGCAGCGCAGACTGGTTATTTCAAGTTTTTTTCTAATTGTTCTTATGTAAAGATGATGATGTGCTATGCAGTTTATTAAACTGGCTATACAGTTTATTAAAATGTCTGACAAGTTGTACTTCCTACTCACGTAGGCCTTGCATATAAATAACAGAACTAGCAGAGTAAGTGCACCTAGGAGATGATTAATACACCTTTGTTTTTGCTCTCACCCTCAATATGGTCAATCTGATTATCTTCACATTATGAGCTTAAATATGAAAAATGTTAAGCAAATGATTTGTATCTTTGCAATTACTAATAGATCTAATAACATTTTTTTGTTTGTTTATGCAGTCTACTATAATCACTCTCTCAAATTTAATTGAAACATTTTTTCTAGTGTTCCAAAAATGTAAAATTAAAATACATTGTGATTATACTCTCATAAGACTGTAAAACAATGACACTCAAGTCATCCATCTCAAATATGAAGAGAATTGTCGATTTTCTGATATTCAAGGTATAAATATTTTAATGTCACAAAAGCTAAAATCTAAGTGACACACACATACATCTGATATTGTGAGTGAAACACTAAGCAAACTCTGAGCTTGTGAATGATATCCTGAATGGATTCCACCCTTTGACATTTTTATGGACTCCAGTACAAAGATCTTAATCAGTGAGGACTACAATTCCCAGCACGCTGAATATGGTGAATATGGTGTCTCCAAGAACTAGGGGTGGAGTTAAGCAGTAATGCTTGCCTTATAACTGAACACAAGAGGGCATAGTTCACTTATTTCTCTGACTCTGCCATTCAAGGACTTGGAGCGTACTTAGGGGAGACACAAGGAGAAGAGAAATGTAGAGCTGGAACAGATACTGAAGAGACATGTGGGTGTGAGCCATGTGGGGAATCTGCTTCTGGTCTGTGGCCGAGACAATGACAGTCATTAACTTGATTTTGATTTGTTTTGGATTTTCTCTTTCTTCTGTCTCAGTTCTCTGGCACCTGCCTAACTCCTTTCTTGTGGTTCCCACCAGAAGGTAACTTAGACTTGGCAAGATTTTGGGCTTCTGCAGCCCCACTCTGGGCCCACCCTATTTGGCTAGACACTTGCCCACAGGCAACATGTAATTTGGAGAGTTGTAGCGATATATCCTGTATTTTCTCACTATGAATGCCAATTCTATCCAAAATATATCCTAGGAAGAGTTCGCATCTTTTCCTTTGTGTGGATGGTAGGAGTACTTTTAAAGAAGGCACACTTAAACATTCTTGGATCTCTGGGTGCCAATTGACACGTGCAAGTACGTGGACCTCAACTTGGGTCTTTAAGATCCTCAACTCAATGTACTGAATTGTGTTAGTTAGTCCCTGTAAAGATGCTGAGTTGAGATGGGACATCAGTTGCAGTGTTTCAGGACAAATACTAAAAAGACTTTAGACAATAATTAATGTTATTGGAACTCAATGCTTAAAGTGAAGTAAATTGTAAATGAAATTCCAAAACTTAGAAGGTTCTATTACAATTACCCAGAAACTACACTTAAATCAGTGTTTATTAATCTAACCAAACATACATTTAAACTTGTCCAACATTCCACAAATATAAGCAAAAACATGTACATATGCACACACACACACACACACACACACTAATTATGATTGCTAAGCTTAGGCATCCTAAAAATCCCATGAGGGAGCTAAATGGTCACATGACATTATCTAACTCTTTATTAAGGTACCAGTGAAGGACATTTTAACCCCACCAGAACCTCTGAGTTTCCTAATATAAACCAAATGTTCACTAGTACTTTACCTCAGGATACTTTCTCTTCATCTGAGAATTAAATGAGTACTACAGGGCCACAATATCAGAAAGCATTGTATAATATATAAAACAAACCCAAATAGGGATATTTTGAGAGGAGCTCATGGTACAGAGAAGTAGGAAATTATGTAACAGAATTAAAATTATATGTTGCATCCGCATTTAATTCATAATCAAATCAAATAAAAATGATTGCTCATTTCATTCAAGTTATACACAATTATAGTGCCTAATAAATACTTATTAAATAAATGAAAGCTGGAAAAAATGTGTTTTCTTATTTTTCCCCAAAAGACAAAACCAACTTAAACTTAAATTATATAAATATGTTAACTTTAAGGGAAGAACAGAAAATAAGTTTTACATGGAAACTGTATTACAAATTATTGTGACATCTGATTCAATCACTGATCATTTCACTCCTACATTGTAAATTCTAATCACAGTTGACAGAAATCCTTCATAAGTTTACATTTAAGTAATAAAATATATTGGTTTAAGAACTAAAAATCCTAAGGCCCATCTAGCTTTAGGTGTTTCTCTTAAATTTTTACAGACTCTTTCTCTGTATCTTTATACTGACTTTCCTTGTTAGAAGTACATAGAAGTATGTCTATGTTTACATTTTAAGGTGGAAAGCAATTTCTCATTTCCAGAAAGTCCAACATCTCACACTTATCCCTTAAATGCACCTTTAGTCACATGCCCATGTTTAAACCAATCAGAATAAAGAGCAATTTGATATATGTTAATTACACATGGCCATATTATGAGTCCTTTCCTTTAGCCATGGCAGTGAATTTAACGTCACCAAAAGCAGCTGGGCTAAGGTAGGAGCATGACAGCTCCCCACTGGAAAATCAGGGTGCTATTATTGGCAGTATGTTATACAGATGCTATCATGAAAAACCCAAATCCACTATTCTCAAGTATCCTATTTTCACAGGACAAAAAAAAAAAATCTAGTCTGTCTCAGTTATTACATTTCATTGATTTTACATTTGCATCATGACCCCAAACTTAGGACCACAGCTGTCCAAATAAGGCAAGCTCATCAAGTTTATTCCTCTGTCTGACAGTCTCTCTCTTCACCATTCTATGGCCAACTGCCACTGTCCATATGAAGAAACTCATAGTACTTAAAAACTCAGATTTAACTACATCTATGAAATATTTATCAGCTACCATTAACTGTTATGTTGATTTTGGTATGAATGCATTACTATATTCTCTGCACTTACACATTACTATAAATAAATTTATTACAGCATAATAGATTTTCATAATTTTTATGTGATGCTTCTCTCACTTGAGTTTCAGTTACTGGGGAGTTTAGAGACCATTACAACACTGGACATATTTCTACTCTCTAGAATAATTAACTTAGTTTATGCTAAATGGAGTATTAAATAAACCAAACTGAATATCCCAAATTCGGTAGTGAAATATTGTCTTCACATGAACATCTTGAAAGGAGGATTCCAAAGCAATTATTAAGTGTGACTGGTGATAGTCATAAGTCCAGAAACTCTTAAGGGTCTCCCTTAAATAGCACTGCAAATAAGAATTATTTTCACCAAATCATTCTGTCTGCACTAATACATAAGGGATTAAGAGCAGCATAAGTCAGTATTCATTCACGTAGGCAAAATAACTATTATGGATCTAGTTTAAAAGTCCCTGTGATGTTCTGGCTAGTTTTTTTAACGTAGTATTTATAAGAAAGGAGGATAACAATAAAATAGCAAGAAAGGTTTAAGGATTTCTCTGGTTGAGCAAAAACCCTACCAAAGTTGCTTGAGGAAGTGTACAATACACAATGTAGCCATTTGGTGGTACAAGGAAGAGGGTCCAACTAAAGAGCTTCAGCATGCCCCAGGTGAATACTCAACGTGTGGGCTTTCTCAGTACCTATGTGTGATTGAAGGCTTCACAGGGAAAACAGACATAAGCCCCAGAGCACCTGAAAATAAAATGTGTTTTATTTAATCAGGATGGCTTCAGCAAAGTATTTGAAGAAGGCAGTCATATATAATATTCTGTCATTTTACTTAAAACAAATAATGTGTCAGAGCCTAAAAAGTCTTCTGAAAGCCTGTGATGAAGGACTGTGCTCTCTACCTAACTTGCTGGTTTTGCTCACTGCGAATGAAACCTAACATGAGTATGACGCCTGCTAGGTAACAATCGGGAGAATGTGGGCACGTAGGCAATCGCGCGCTAGGTGCTAGGTTACAGGTAGTCTCAAACAGTCCTTCACCCAGTCACTGCAGGACCGCGGCAGCAGGAGTTGACAGGGGGACCCGGTGCGTAGGTGTGGACCCAGCTTGGCTGGACGGTCACACACCAACTGAGAGGACTGCTTCCTGCTTCCTGAACAGGAAAATATGAAAACCAAAATCCCATTATTGGAATGTAAGACCAGGTGGTAAACAACAGTTTTCCACTTGGTCGCCAAGATGGAAAGCTCGGATTCCGAAGATGAAGGAGACGGAGCGGAGAACCTCCGCGAAAGTCAGGAGGACCGACTAGCTCGGGAAGAAGGTTTCTACCGATTTGTAAATAATCTGAGTGAAGACGACTATAAATTTATGAGAGATAACAGACTGCTAGGCATCCCGGGAGAATGTACAGAAGAAGAATTGCGTAGAAGACTTCAACTACTTAAAGAGATCTCACCCCAACACTCAGATGAAAATACAGGTGTGTTTCACTTTCAAAGGGAATAGGACGGGATAGATAAGGAACTTAATACTCGCCAAATATTAGATGAAGCAGTACAAATTAATTTGGTGCTAAGTAACTTCTTGTTTAAATAAGCTGTCATTTCCTTACCCAGAGGTTAAAAAAAAGTCAAAATGTTTCTCCCCCATTCATGTTTAGGTGTTTTAATTGGGAAAAATATATACAATAGCCTATGGATATTTTTGCTGGTTTTCTGCCTCCATTTGATAGTGCCTTCTACTTCCTAAAGTGTATCTATTGTCTATGGACATATGACTTTCTTACCCGCAAAAAGAAATATATCATACTCTAAACCAGTAGTTGTCAACTGGAGGTAATTTTGTTCTCTCCCCACACGGGACATTTCACAATGTCTGGAGTTATTTTTGTTTTCACAGTGGAGGGAGGTCTAGTGGGAAGAGGACAGGGAAGTGGTCAAACATCTGTAATGCACACGATGGCGTTTGAAAAAAAAAAAAAAAAGGCTCCAGAATGTAAATGGTGCTAAGGTTGAGTAACCCTGCTCTCATCTAAGGCCTTGTGTTTCTCTTCCAGTATAAAGTAGAGAATTTTACTGTCTAATAAAATAGATGTTACAGTGGTTTGGCTCTTAAGTATTGCCTTATTTACTGTGCTGGGTTCAGTCTATTCATTTAATCTCACCTTCAATTTCAGGCCAGTTCCAAATCTTAGTAACTTTAAAAGTATGCAAATACCTTTAAACCTATAAACCTTGTTTATATGATGATAATCGCTAGAACAGACTTTTTTAAAACAACTTTATTATCTAAATGACCTAACTTGAGAGCCTAGAAGTAATGTAATAAACTAATAAGAATTAGACAGTAATGGAAAATGGAAAAAAAAAACTAACAATGTACATTAACTGGTATTTGCCTTGTTTATTTCATTAGTATTTCAATAGCGAATGAAAAAAAAGTGATCTATCACTCCTCCCAAAGCAGTATAAAAGCCTTTGTATGTTGAAACACTGACAATACTTCTTCCAGATTCCTTAAAACAAAACAAAAACAAAAAAAAAAACAGTACTTTAAATTTTTAAAGGGCTAGCTCACTTTTTTTTCAGAAGAAATTGGAATGTTCTTGCCTTTACTTACAGACAGTGTCATTTACAAACTATTAACTCTATAAATGTGAGATCCATTCAAAACATCTGAGTATGTAAATTCTCAGTTTTTGTTTTGAAACAAATTTTTAGAGTCACTATGATTTAATTGTGCCAGTTCCTTTATAAAACCACCCACCTTCTTTTTGTTAACAGGTGGAAGAAACTCTTCAGATAATGTGTCTAGTGGTCACTCTGTAACAGACTGGCTTAACTCTGTTAGACAAAATGAAAACATGACAGGTGAACAAAGAGAAAACCAATCTTGGGGAGAAATGAACCAGATTAATCCAAACAGTGAAGATATCAGATTAAATTTAGAAAGTCATATTGACTATAATAATGAGAGCCCAGATAGGACCTATGAAATAGAAGATACAGAACACAGCCAGAGCCAACTGGAAAATTCACCTTCCGAATCACTGTTTACAAGATCATCTGTATGGGAACAAAGCACAGCTGAAGCATCCGTGGAAGTCCCACGTTCCAGAGGTTTGAGAAGGCCAAGAAGCAGAAGCCCAAACCGAAGAAGAATGAGACCTAGAATTGCAAGCAGGTCACCTCCAAATATACTGACTGGAATTGTACTTGACGGATTCCCTCACTATCTAAGACCCTGGAGTCTACGTAACGTCTCAAGAAGTGAAACTCAAACATCATCTACAACTCAGCACCAAGAAACATCAAGACCTGAGTTGCAAAACACGAGTCCTTCTGCAACCTCTGAGATGGGAAACCTCATTCAAGAAGAATATTCTTCAGAGACATTCAGCATTGGTGAGTCTTGGGGATCGGGGCAGATGAATACAGCTATAGATTTTGATCCAGAGGAAGGAATAGTTCAATCTAGAGAAATTTATCAGGAAGACATCATAGCTAGTAGATCTCAGTTAACATCTGAGAGCCCAGACAATGCTGAGTCATTAGAAAATGAAAAAGGAGGACTTAGTCCTACATTCACACATTTTGAGCAGGATAACACCATAGATTATGACAGTACCAACAGACTTTCCTTTCACAGACTTTTAAGTTCCTTTTGCAGTGACACAACATCTGTAATTCACGAAACATCAGGGCAAACGATGACTGGTTTTAGTGATTCCAGTAACCTTACAGAAAATGACAGTAATTTGGAGCCTAACATCTCACCACCAACTCTAAACACTGAAAGGACAGAGTCACCAAATGGAAGAGATGGTTCTGGAAATAGTAGTAGTTCTGGTATCAATGTAATTCCTGAATATTATTTTCAATCAAGTTCTCCAGTAATTTCTAATTCGAGTTCCATCTACGTATCTAGTTCCAATTCTACTCCTATGTCCAGTTCCAGCTCCAGTGATAACGTTTCAGAAATCAGTTCACTGCTGTTTGAAGCCAGTGATGAAAGGAGCATAGCAGGATTATCAGAGAACACAGGATTATCAGGGAATAGACCTATGACCCCAGTAATGTTTGACGAGAGTGACTCTTGGACCTCCCTTAGTCTGGATCAGTTTTTCCTCTTAGAAGATGAGCATCATTCTACAGGACTCACCAAAGCACAAATTGACAACTTGGCTGTAAGATCATTTGGTGAAAATGATGCATTGAAATCCTGTACCATCTGCATCACAGAATTCACCGAAGGCAACAGGATTCGCGTGCTACCGTGCCACCATGAATTTCACATACACTGCGTCGATCGCTGGCTGTCGGAGAACACTACCTGTCCTATTTGCCGCGGAGAAGTAGTAGATCCTGCTGAGAGAGAAAATTCTAACTGAGATACTAAATCTCAGCTATATAATCTGTTATAGTGATGGACAAACAATAGCCACCTGTTTTATGTCCACTTGTGGAGTAATACTTAAATACAATAATATGAATAAAAACTGAAATTTATGCAATAATCTGAACTGAAACATCAGTTGCTGAAGGAATTATTGGACTGTCCCCCAAGTTCTCCTCAATAACAATAATAAATATGAACAATATGAACTGAATCATTAGTTACTGGAAGAAGTATGGACTTTTCTCAATTTTGCTGTCCAGAATAATAGAAATTAGAAGCTCAGTATTACTCTACCTGACAATAAAAATTATTTTCACACCGTAATGAGTCACTGGTTTTAATGCTTTTCACAGGTACAGTGGGTTGGAATGTTACTGATTCTGAAAGCAACATCTTAAAATACATGATCAGCCCAGATAAATCCTAGTAGTCTTTTATCTAGTCTTATAAATCTCAGACATCTCATAGCCCTGCCCCATCTTGTTTGTGCACGTGAAGAACGAGCAACCCAACCAAAATAATTATAAAATTTACTAGAATCACTCACCAAAAGAAGTCATGCAATTTTCATAAAATTGCATAAAAAGCTTTCAAAAATGTTCCGTATTTCCCCTCAGCAGATTATCCCCATCTCTAGTCCACCATGAAGTTTTTCCCATGACCCATTACCAATATATCAGGGTCCTGGTCAAAATTGATGGCACACTTGAACATGGTGATGGAATAGCTTTCAGTGAAGGCACTACTTACTAATACTGGTAAAGACAGAAGTACCCTGATATGAACATTGAGAAGCCAGTATTATTATTAACACTAAGCATAATGGTGCAGAGAGGCAATAGTTCTTACAATCCAGTTGTAGATGGCCACCCATCAAGAACTGTAATCTTAAATAAACAATGGCAGCCACTGACAATTTACACCCTGGGAGGGAAGGAACCATGGGAAAAATAAAAAAAACCTGACTACTATCCTCCTCTCTCCTAACTTCCTGCTTATAGTTAACGTTAGCTAAATTCAATTTGAACGCTTAGCATATGTTGATAAAACTAACAAGTCATTCTGCTGTGATCACAAAGAAGAGGATAGAGAATGGATCAGAAAACGTAAATCAAACAAAATTAATGGGCAACTATAAATTGGAGATTCTTCAGGGGAGGGGGAGGGAGAGGGACGGAAATGGGAGGGAAGAGCACAAGGGACTAGATGGTGCAGAGGTGAACTGGTGCTGGGTATTTTACAGGGACTACACTTGGGAGAAGAAAGCATAAATTGTACAAAAAGGAAGAATGATGTAAGTTATATATAAAAAGAAAAAAAAAAAACACCCTTGTCAATTGGGAGAAATTTTTGCACATCATACATCAGACAGACAAGGGACTGATAGTCAAGAACTATAATGAACTTACTTAACTCAATAAAAGAAAACAAATAATCTAAGGAAAAATTGACAAGAGCTGAATAGAACCTTCTCTAAAGAAGACAAACAGATGTCCAGCAGGCTCATAAATATTCATTGTCACTATCATCACTAGGGAAAGCCAACTCAAGCCACAGTGACATATTATCTCACAAGTGAATTCTTGTCATTTTGTGAGAACATGAATAGAACTATAGCGGATAATACTAAGCAAAATAAGTCCAAAAGGAGGAAGACAAACACTGGATGGGTTTGCTTCTATGTGAATTATAGGTAAGCAAAAAAAAGGATCAGATAAAACCAAACCAATCATAAACCCTAGAAATCTGGCAGCAGCATTAAGGCTACCAGAGATGCAGGGAGAGCAAATCGTGGAGGGGCCCAAGTGCAGTGTAGGACTACAGATGTCTTGTTCGTTGTATGAAGTATAACACACACTTAATGCATGTGATCCTATACTCTGCATCATGTGCAGTGTTGTAAACAAACATTTTCACAATAAAAAAAATAATAATCTCAAGTCAAAAAAAGAAAGAAAGCAAATCAGAGACCAACTACCACAACCATCATTCCCAAATCCACAGGCCTAGTCTGGGACACTTGCTTGCTTCTGGCCTTGACTTTCATTCTGCTCTTTAGCTCAGCTCTTTGTCATCTCTCTCACTTTTCCATTCATCTATTCAGATCTTGTATATAATAAAGGAAAAGCAAGCATATTTCATCTTTAGAGCTTATTAGTACCTTTCTCCTAATCATGTCACATTTAGGTTCGCTGAGACTGTAAACAAGGGGGAAAGATTGTACAGGTATTAAATTTTTGTTCCCTAATTGCACTCACTTTAATTTACTTTTATATATGAGTTTAGCTCATGTAATAATTTTAAACACACTTGTTTATATATAAAGGGTTTTGTGGTTTATATATGATTCAACTACATGTGAATGATCCAAAGCACCCAAATGCTGCTTGGAACGTCCCTGTTGGCAACCTGAAAGCCTTAAATGTAAAACCTGGGCATATCTACCTAATTCAAAAGCATGCCTACCTAATACAGCACCCCCATAAAAGTCTCACCCTAATATCACTAGTTATCAAATTTTAGACCATGCCTCCTTTCAAATAAAAACAGTGCAAGATTTTTCTAATTCAGCCTAGTAATTTTTTTTTTTTTGGATATAGGCCAATGCAACAAATTTCACTTAAAAGTTCAATCCTAGTTTAGTAGAGTATACACATTTATAACTTAAAGCAATATTCATTAATTTTGTATGATGTGCAACTTATATAAATGTGGAGAGTGTTAGGAATAAGGTACCCTAAAAAAAATTGCCAGCATCCTCATGCCCTTTATGTTCTACGTGAATTGTTAGCAGTTATTAAAATCCCCATTTTTAGTCATTAAAACAGCATCTTTGACATCATAACAATGTGGTGTTTGGACAAGCATTATCAGGTAATTCCTTTCTCTCTTTCTCATGCACCATTAATTGAGGACATGCAATTCCTATCAGTCAATTCTACGTTTTGTGCTGTTAAGTCAGACATAACTAAGTCACTGTGTAACTATCTACCACCCTTGACCTTCAGAGCTTCAATTCCAACAGTGTAATTTTTTAGAAGCACTTGTCACTATCTAAGACACATTTTTTCCAGCCATATTGATTTTATTTATTTTATAAATACATTTCTTACATTATTCTTCATTTTATACAGTATTTTTTTCATCTCGGTTGTGACCCCCGTGTACTTCCAACCATCACTTCACCCCTATGCCATCACCATAGTTCCATGTGCAATTCTCACCCCAGCTTTAATCGTGTTCCCCTCTCCTCCTACAGATAAAGACATATTTTTCAATTTATCTTAGGTTTGTTTTCTTTCCTACTCCTAACCCCAAAATAGAAGTTTCAAAATCTATTTCTATATTTTTTTGTCTGATATATTTCTGAAGACCAGGACAACTACTGGCATGTGTGTGTGTGTGACAATATGTATGTATATTACATAATCTATAATATATAATCTATACATTATAGAATATACTAATAAAAAACATGTAAGATGAGCAAAAAATTATACCAATTTTCTTGATTATTCTTTTTTTGATTGTATTGTTTTTTTTTTTAAATTCTGTTTCACAATGGTTGGCTGATTCCCATATCCCAGACTTATTTTTCACTCTTTACTTGCCAAAGAAAATATTTTAATGTATTCAATCTATTTAGTCTAGACCTCTGTCACTTAGTTAATGCATCTGTATACTATTTCTTGCCTGTTAAGTTTCAACACCTGCAAAACCTTTTCCAAATTGTTCCATTCATTCAATACATATGTATTTACCTGGACTATGTGAGGCCCAATGCTGGGTGCTGGAGTTAGCAAATATAGCACCTATCATTAGAAAATATAGAATATTCCTCCCATAGAGCCTGTCCATGTCATACAGTTTGCTATCAGCCTCAAGTTTACCATTTTGTTAATTGCTATGAGTAGCATAGTACAAGGTTAACTCTATTTTTAGTATCTCCTTTGTCTTCCATATGCATTCAATTTGCTTATTCTTATTTAGAAATCACATATTTACTTTTTTCTTCATACTTTAATATGTATTCCTCTAACTCTTTAACCCTTTTGAATTCCAAATACTGATTTTCATTGAAAAGTTTCCCTAGTTAACATTATGTAATATTGAGAATCATATCTAGCACTCACTTAATGCTTTAAGAAATAATCCCACCAATATTGTAAAAATTCAAAATATCTTCTTTATAAATTATACTTTTCTTCATGTTAAAGTGTCAATCATTTCTAAATTAAATTTTGGAATTTATGCAGAATTTTACAAAGTGATTTTCAAGAATATACTGAGGTTAATTAAATTATTAGCAGTACTATTTCACCTCCCCTGAATAAATCAAATAAAACTTGTTTAAGTTTATTTTTCCAGACTTTGGGTTTTACTTTTAATTTTAATTTTTGCTTTAAGAAAAACACTAATGTCAGAACTCCATTACTTCTGTATAATGAATTTGAAAGTATTCCAAAAGCCCAAGAAATAATTTAAATTACTGATATGTGCTCTTGGTTCAACATTATGAATTTCTTGCTCATTAAAGAAAATACAATATTCACTGTTTCATGGATTTATTTATTGAATATGTTTTCTCATTTGCTTTCATGATGCTCTAAACACTGAGATTTACTACTTTAGGAGCTAAATGTATTCCACATCTTTCCCAGAAGAAAGGTTTTGAAAACCAAAATAGTAATCATCAAGTTATATACTGAATTTCTCAGCTTTACGTTTAAACAAGTCTGTGATAAGAATTTATGCTTAATTGTGAGGAGGTTCCTCACACTACTAAAAATAAAGCTACTATATGACCCAGCAATTCCACTCCTAGGTGCCTACCCAAAAGGCACAAAAACCTTAATTCAAAAGGATACCTGTAACCCTATGTTTATTGTAGTACTAACGGTAAAACTTGGAAACAACCCAAAAGTCCCCAGATAGATGACTGGATCAAGAAGATGTGGTATACAGACACAATGTAATACTATTCAGCAATCA